TCCCCCTGCTTCCATATGCTCAAAGAGAACGATATGACAGTAATGGAGGGGGGGAGGGAAGGGGAGGGCTGCAGAGGGCAAGGGAGCCACCTGACCCCCCCCCAACCTTATTTTCCCTGCTGTAGCAGTGAGAAGGGGAAAATCTCCAATAATTAGATTCTATACCTGGAAAATTATAACAAATGTATAAATTTTCCATATACAGAATTAAATTATTGCAATTATTGGGGGGTTGTCTTATATTGGGGTTAATCTTATATTTGAATAAATACGGTACTTGGTGTACACTATTATCTACATAACAGAAGACACTGAACAATTAAAAATCTACACAAAATTATGGCTTTCTTCTGAGGTTCACCAGGAATGGTGAGGTCAGCTCATATTTCTGGATTAGACTATGTAATACTAAATTGTCAAAAAAAAGACATCCTACACAGGGAACACCACAGAAAAGACTGAACTCTCATTTTCCTTGATACCGTGTAGATTTAGCCACACACCACACTCAAAGTAACTTGCATATATTTTATCCACAGTTAATGTATTAAAGAAATTCATTATAGTTATGTTTAAAAAAAAAAAATCAACCAAAAGCTGGTAGCCTAAGTACAGAGATACGATGGGGAACACAGGATAAAACAGAGGCCTACAAAAAATACCAATAAATCACATATGAAAAAAAATAAACTTACACAGCTGTAGAAGTCTGTGTCTGGTCATTTGAACCTGAAAAAGTAAATCAAGAATCACTTATTACTGGTCAAGGAAAAAAACCAAAGAGAATGTACATTATATAATGTTGGGGGTTGCTGTCATGACTTCTGAACTGCTGCAAGTTAGATGCTCATTCTTATTTTTCTTACTATTAATAACAATTATGCACAAAACTAAATAATGTAGAATGAGGGGTTGTTATTGTTGTTTTGTTGAAGGGTGGCAATTAAACTCCATTCTTCTCCAGACTCTGTCATTCTCAAGTTAGACAAATTCATTAATAACTTCTTAGCACGATCTTAAAAATGCTCCATTGTAACAAACTTATAAAATCACTTTGCTACTGACCTTTTACTATATAGAACATATTCCAACCATCAAAAATCACTATTGTTATCATTTTCTTCCTATATAAAGTTATGCAAAAACACCTTGCTCTACAATAATATGCTGAAAGCTGTGCCAGCACAGCACTACTATACATATTCCACAAACCATTGCATGCAGAGTCCTGACCCCACATCTAGTCAATGCTGCTTGCATGACCCTGACCTTATTCATTCCTCACAGTTAAAGAAGGTTAAGATGACAGGTCGTGATGAATCGGTGGGAAATAAATGCAAGTAGTATTTTGACAACATAGAAATAGTACTTTGAGGTTGACAAATTCCAAAGCACATTTGTTTCCATAGACAATTTTCATAAACAACATCTCAATTTCACTATCTATGAATGCAATTAATGCCAGTAGAAGCAATTCAAGTGCCTGCCTTCTCTCTATTGCATTAAAGAAATTGAAAAGGTACATATTTTAAGTTCAGCAACAGAACACACTAATAACACTTTGCTTTACCTTTCGTTCTCTTTACTTCTTGATTTTCTGTGTCAGGAACTTTTCTTTTGGCAGGGTGAGATGATGTGCCAGCAGCAGGGTCAGGTATTACCTGTTTACCATCTTTTAAGGCTACAAGTTTCTGTAAAAAAGTTTAAAGCAGCAAATAAAAAAATTCAAAACTTTCTCCTCAAGAACTGCTCTCTCTCAAAGTTTTAATGTTAGAGGCATTTAGTTCAGGTGTCAAATGCATGGCCTGTGGAACCCTATGTTCTGGCCCACTGGTCCTGGAGCATGTGGAACTGGTCTGACATGTTGGCTGGAGCTGGTGCCATGGGCACTGCAGGCAGCACAGGGAGTTGGCATGGGGTATGTGTTGCATGGGGACTGAACATGGACAGCCTGAGGCCTAATCTGAACTAGTCCCAGAGCCAGTATGCAGGGCCAGTCCAGCTGCGTGACCCATGTGGTATGCCCCCTGTGCACCATGTGCAGAGCAAGCCCCAGAGAGGGGCCAACACATGCTGCATGTGGTACATAGGGCTATACTGGCTGCGCACATGGCACGTGGTACAAGACATGCGCTGTGTGTGGTGCTCCACGAGACCTAGCCTGCATGCCAGCTCTGGTGCAGCCTGATCCAGTCTACTACGAAGGTTCTGGTTGGGGAGAGCAAGGAGCCCAAGTAAGACAATGACAAAAAACTATCAGCAAGCCTGCAGCTCCCATGATGCCCTCTACGTCTATGAGTTCACAGCAGTATTGCTGCAGGGCCCTACAACTTGTGTTGCCCATCCATGAAAGCCTAGTTATGCCTACAAACATCCCCCACAGATGAGGTCCCTCATCATCATGACCATCAGGATGGCTCTCCACAGTACTCTCCCACCCTTGGTAAAAGGAATACCCTGTGCTGTTCCTGCAGGAGACCCACATGACTCCAGCTGCTGAAGCCAGCTGGCAGCTAGAGTAGGGGAACAGGGTCTATTTCAAACACCTTGCATGTCTCCATGTGATGGAGGATTGCCACCCTGTTCTCTCCACACCTGCAGCCAAAGATTTTTCAGGCAGCTGAGGTGGTGCCAGGCCAGGTCTTTATCTGCAAGTCCAAATACAGGGGCTTGTCCTGAATCTGGTCAATATCTACAGCCCTGACACTCTTAGGACCTCCAGGGAGACCAGCCAGAAGCAGCACGAGCAGGGCGCAGAGCTGCTCCAGGGTCAGGATCTTGCAGCAGTGCCAGCATGGAGCTGGGGCAAACTGCGATCAGCTCCCTGCACCCCCCTGCCTGCCAAACTCACACACACTGCAGGAGCACATGTGCAGATCACAGCTCTGCCCTGGCCTTCTCAAGATCCCAAGGTCTCCCCGGCTCTGCCTTCAACCCCATCCCAGCCACCCTGCCAGGGCCTGGGCAGCAGGGTTGGGTCCACTGGAGTTGCTTACTGGGAAATGGAGTCCACAGCAGGCCCAATCCAACCCGTGGGCTGAACTCTGTCCAACCCTGATCTGGACTGATGCATCTCCTACTCATAAGCCTTCCTGGCATCCACCATTGGTTTGGAGACGTCAGAGCATACATATCTGACTCAAATTTCAGAACTTCAAGGTGCTAATTGCATCAGAGTAAAAATAAATTAAAAACAATAGGAGTCAAATTATAGGTCTAGCTTATAAAGATGTATATTCACACATTTAAAAAAACATAGTGGCAGCTCAGTGAAATGCACTGAATCATGACTACCCAGGACCAACATACTTCAGCCCCACGAGACCAAATAGTATTATGGTATTTCAGTGAGAGATTAACTTTAATATGGAATGACTTCCATTCAGCTTTATTCATGACACCTGACGTACACAATGAATCTCAGAATCTCAAGCCATGTTATTAGCGCTCCACTAGCATAAAACCAGTTTAACTAAGGTTTTATCTTCACAAGCCAATACATCAACATAAATACACTTCACTAGTTAACACATGGTAACTAATATGTGATAAAATTTTAGTTTTAGCTAACATATGGTTAGCTAAGACTAAGAAAAACATAATAAATCATCTTTAACATACGGTTAAAAAGAATGCATCCTTTTTCCTAACATGGATGCACCCTGAAAAGACTACTTATACAATCAAATGCTTACTGCTTGAAAGTTTAACTTTACAGTTAGTTACTCAACAGATCATTACTATTTAAAGACAAACATTGAAGATACAAACAGACTTTTGTAGCAACAAATAACTGGATCCCATATGCAAATTAAGTGATAATTAGCTATTTCAAAATTCACAATAAAATGAATAATTAGTAACAATAATTAATTACTTGAAGACTTGGCTAGGAGCCCCCACTGCCCATAAAGCCCATGTGACAAGGCCTCCTCACCCTGCCTGCTACCTAAGCTACGTGTTATGCTATTTACTAAAGCAGAAGCCATAAATCACTCTTGAGAAAAAACACGGATTTGCAAGTCTCACCTCTTTGTGCTGTTTTCCAAGCACGTGCGTTTGCCACAACAGCTCATTCTTGATCTGCATGTTGCACAGAGTGCAGCTTAGGTGCCCTAAGCGGTTGTATGTGGAGTTTCTAGTTAAAGAAACACTGCAATGACGAAGCTCTGAACGACACAGATGCTTGAACACAGCAAGAGGCCAAGCCAAACTTGCTCCGCAAGGCAGACGTGCCACAAATTAAACCCCTGCCCTCCCGAAGCACAGCTCTCATGCCTTCCTCTACCTGACCAGCTGCTTTCTGCTCCCTGTCCCATCTCCAGACATGCTGCTGGTTGCCTCTGGACCTGCGCGTGCCATGCACGAGGCTGCCCATGTCACCTGAGGGGCGAGTGGCTGTACAATGCACATTCTCCAAGGGCAACGTGAAACTCAAGAGGAAAAGGGGGGACTCTAAGGGCAACCCCCCCCAACCTGAGGCACTTAAGGGTGCATGAGGTATCCCGGGCCAGGCCAGCGCTGCAGGCCCAGCGGAGCCCCAGAGCCCCCACACTTGTGACGTCACAACAGCATAGCCAACGAGCAACCGCGGCCCCGTCACCACCACCCGCCGGGACGGCCCGGGGCGGGACAGAGCCCCCCACCCAACGCGGAGCGCGCCAGCCCGGGGCGGCGGAGGACCCGCTGGCCCCACCCCTGCAACCCAGGCCAGCGACTCGCGGGCGCGGCCAGAGCAGGATATTTAGCGAAGGGCGACTCGACGCGCTTCTTGCCCGCGCCCGCACGCTGCTTCTCCCGCATGAGCCGCCGCAGCTCCTCCTGCCGCACTGGCTTCCGGCCCGCCGCGGCCGCCATCTTCCACCCGGAAGTGCCGCACCGCCACTTCCGGTCCGGGGAAGGCATCAACGCGGCGGACGGGTCCTGGAGCGGTGTAGAAGCTGGGGGCGGGGCCTCGGGGAGTCCCGCCCCGGACTGCTCTCACGTGACAGCGGAAGCGGCCAGAGGTGTGCCGTAGCGTCGGCTGAGCTGAGCGACCGCGCCCGAGGCACAGGGACAAAAATCCCGAAGACTGCGGCAGCCCAGGCCGCTCGGGTGAAGCCGGTATCGTTTGTCGGACCAACGCCCACGGGTGCAACAGTTCTTCGCGAGCACGAGCGTCCTTGAGGCAGGCGCAGAAGGAGCGTCCGCAGCGGAGCGACCCAGAACTTTGTCCGCCTGGCTGCAGACAGCCCCGCCCAGCTTCTGCCCACGGCCCTGGCCTCGGAGCAGCCGCGTCGAACGCGCCAGCGGAGACGCCCGAGGAGCGGGAGAAAGAAATGCTGCCACCAGCTTTTCAGTGGAAGACGACCGCTGCTTTTAGCCCTAGACTGTGGCTGCTTCGGAAATCGCGGCTGCCACATCCCTTACACTTCCCCCTTTCGAAAAGGGATTTTTTTGCCAAGCGTTTACACGCATCGCTGGGATTTCTCTAGGTGATGCACATTGCTGTACACCTTACAGCATCGGCGACACGTAGGTTGGCCACCGCCAACACTGCCGCCGGCGCCTGCGGGCAGTCGGTGCTTGCCACC